CGTGCCTGAAATTGGCACACGCAAGAGCATAGGGAGGGCATGAACCGCATGAGTAGATCCTCTGATTGCGATTGGCTGGTGTGGTGCCTTTGACCATCTGAGTGTGGTCATCACATACTTCTAATGGGCCCATAAAAGGCTTCAAGGAGTCACAGGTCGGCGGCATTCAGAACGTGAACATCACATGGCAATGACATTTGGTTATGGTGTTGTAGTTCCTCTGCGCTTGACCTGCGGCTAAGGCGGTCATTTCAAACAACCACACGCATTCACAAATGTATATAGTACATACACTTTAGATGTATGTATATACACTTATACATTTGTATGCACAATCAGCTGCGTAAGCAGTGTTAACTGGCTTTGACACTTAACAAGCCGCAACCAACAACAGCAGCAGCAGCAGCGTCAGCAACAACAAATACAGTACAGCTAGAACAACCATTAGGTTAGTAAACAATTAACATGCAATGACAAATATGTAGTGGGACTAGTTTAGGATTCATTTAAACGCATTTGTTTTAATATTAAACGGCCATCTGGGCTTTATAAAATTAAAGTTGTAAGAATAACAAATGTGATGAAATAGTAATAAATTGAAAAAAACAATATATGTATACATACATACATTTTTTCTATAAATGGTACAAATAACAAATGTAATATCATTGAAAATGTTCATTATTTATAGAACCATAAAAATGATTTTACGAAAACGTGAAGGCAAACTGTGATAAAATAATAATAATCTGACAAAAACAATATACAAGTATGTAACTTTAAATTTTGTCTATAAACGGTACAATAAACAAATTGAATATCATTTAAAATGTTCATTATTTATAGATCCATAAAAAATGATTTCACGAAAACGTGAACTTCTTAAATGTAAGGCAAACAATAAAAATTATTCAATCCGGAAAGTCGTACAAAATATATATTAAAAAACTTGCTAATATTAATTCTTCGATCTTAATATAAACTTTGAGCTCAATGGAAAAGCAAGATTTTAAGAAAGAATTGAAATCTGCAGTAATTTGTATGTACTTCTTAACACACAACCTTGTTGCAAGTAAATACATAGTTGTTTATTTGGTTTCATCCTTGTGAAGAGACTCGAAAATACTGCAACAAAATTTGGTGTACTGTACTTACAAGCAAAATATTAAAGCTGGTTTAATGTGCGCCAAATCCGCTTAAGCGAAACAAAACAGTAACAAAAGCAACAATGAGAGGCTATAGCTGGCGACCATTTTGTTGGGTCTTCCATTCCTCGCTGATACTAATTGATGTTGTAAGTAATTACGGTGCTGTAAACAGCATTATCTACATTTTTCGAAACATTTTTAAAAAATGGCTGCGCCTCAAAACAGGCAATAAATTTTCCTATTGGCGTTTAAGACAAAACGCAAGCAGCCCACTGGTGAGAGAACAGGGGCACTTGTAGGAGCAGCAGCACGTTCTTGTCTTGGTTGTCACTTATGTGACAATTGACCCCAAGTGGAACCCTAGCGCGAAACTGTTGCGTGTTGGTCGGTTCGGTGTCGAATACTTATGAGGCTCGTTTAAGACTCGAATGAGAGACTGCTAAAAAAAAGTACAAACAATAGGACACACAAGGCTGAAAAGGCTGGCAGAGTAGCAAGCTCTTTTTTATTGGATTTGGATGGCGTAAAAAACGCAAGCAAAAAGGTGGGCAACGCACAAAGGTGCGTAGTGGAAAAAAAACGACTAAATCAATGCAATAACTACGTTGGTGTGATTGTCGGGTTGAGTGCGCGCCTTTGTGTGATTGAAGCCCCGGGAATGTAAATGAAGCCATAAAATTCCCCCTTTGCTCAGCATTCAACAGTTTGTGTGGCGCCCTTTTTATATTCCTCTTGTTTTTGTTATTTTTTTCTTGAACGCACTGTTTGCTCAGGCACTAGAACAAAGACAAAGAAACATTTTGCCTCCAAACGAAAGTGCCATGTCTACACGTATTTGATTAGCTAGTATGTGAGCTTATTTAAGATATACTAAGACAAACGTTTCGCTTTTATTTAGATCGTTGAATTTTGATTCACGTGCTTTGGCCTCTGCTGCTACTGCTAAATACAAGTGTAACACCCATCCTTTATGCATATAAGTGTAAATGTCGTCTGCTCGTGACAGACATCAGAACAACCCGAGTGCTGTCGGCAACAGTTGTGCATTGTTATAAGATAAATATGCATGCATATTGTGTGCACGTGTCCGTATTAGTTTCAATTATAATGTATATACGCAGCTCGTACGTACTAGTTTTAATCGCTCATTGGAGATGAACATGTGAGGATAGACAAATTCTGAGAATAAACAACATTTTAACCTAAATTAATGTTTATTCCCAGTGCCCATATTACGTATGTCTTATACATACTATATACAGTTAACCCGCTGTTGTCAATAATTGGGACTCATGTACGAGCATAATAAAACTCGTTTTATTTTTAAGAAAGTATCTTCAATAGGTTTAAGTTAAATAGTGAGCTTTTGTCGTACAAGAAAAACAAGAAACGCAATATCTAAATAGGTTCCTATATCTTGATTACCAAAAAAAAAAAAAAAATAATAAATGCAATGTCTTGTCGCAATAGTTCTAAGAGTGTAGGAGGAGTGGGATTAAAACAGACAGACAGATGATTACTTCTCGCATTAAACATTTCAGAATGTGGAGTGTCAAACAACCGAGACTTTAAAATCCTCATTTTTTAAATATCATTACTTTTATATAGTTTGTTAAAGGTGTAAATAATGCGTGTGATTATAGGTACATGACATGTATTGCTCAGATTAAAGAATTATTTTACTGAAAGAGAAATATATTCAAATTAACGATATTTACTATTTCTGAACTGATGTGATTTTTCGTAAATAAAATAAATCGAACACTGCATGGCTGCCAGCAGAGCATGTGTTTTCACTAAAAGCCCCACAATACACAGATGTAATGTGTATTTAATACAGATTGATGTGAAGAGCATTTAAATATACTACAAAGGACATGTACACTGATGAAATTGCATGTTAATAGTAAATTCAATTTTCAGAAACGTTGCATTAACTTATTTTTAATGCCCGTAGAGAGCAACAGGAAAAGTTACATGAAAGCTGGCAGCAAAAATGCGATAAAATAAATTAAATCAACATTGTACAAGCAAATGGAAAAAAAAGGAATAACAGCAAGATAGCGACAACGAGGAGGCTTAGCTATGTGTTGGTGAGAAGAAGAATAGTGTGGAAGAGGGTGGTGAGAAGGCTGACGGGCTAGTAAGTGCAACGGACCTGAAGGCAAAGCTTCACATCGGCCTCTCCATAACTGAAAACTAATAAAATGCGATTACATAACGTCCGGCAGTCACGACTTTGAATCCAGGAATGTGCGCCGGGAATTTATATTATGTAATGGAAGAAATTTCATTGGTTAACGAGTAAATTAAATGAAAAACTTGCAGCCATACAACAAATTGGCTTATTGTGACTTCGCACAGGAATTTTCTGTTAGCAGCAAAAATGGTTCTTTCCTCGGTGATCTGTGATTTGCGATGTTGGTGGAGAGAAAATCCGAATCGAATTGCAATGAAATGCCGCGTGCCTCTCCTGCTCCTCTCCTAAACTTTAAATGAGCACTGTGCTTGGATGCGTTAACCCGCCTGCCACTCATATATGTCGCAATATTATCAAGTTGGGCGTTGCTAACGACCATTTGCAGCACATTTATTTATGGCGCTCCGATCCAAACGGCAACTAAACCAACAAACAAGGCAAACCAACTCTGTGTCACGCCTGCGGCAATGAGAATGAGATGTGGCCATGTGGACTGCCCACAAAGGCATTGAATGTCCGAGGGGCACACATGCCCATGTACGTGCCAGTATCAACAATTTTATAGCTTTTGCGTTTACAGTTACGACTGCCACTGTAGCGTATACGCAACATTTGACTTCTTGGCCCAGGCATTGAGCCAGTGTAATTATTGTATGGTACACAAACGCTTCTATTTGGCCGAACCGCATGAGTTATTAAATGGGTTATACAAACACAGCCCTATACATACATGCTGACTGACGATATATATATATATATGTTTGTATATATACTAAATGCTTGTATTTCATTTCACGTAAACTGTTGCACACAGTTGGGAACACAATAACGGCGTCCCTGCACAGTGGCCTGCTATTTGAGCCATATATTAATGGAAAATGTAGTATCAAGAATTGTTGATAAGCTATTGTAGTAAAAATTTTCATGAATAATATATCCAAATATTGATATCAATTTTTTGGCGCAAAATTGATTTTTGTATGTTTTACAACTGAACTGGCACGACCATATATATTTTAGATAATGCATTCTTTTTAAACAATTTGTATACTGAATTTTGAATGACTAAACATATAAATACAAATAATATATATTACACAAAAGTCTCACAATTCTGTTTTTATCACCATTTTGCAGAAAAAGGTCTTGGGTATTACAGCGCAGGGTAATGAACAAATACACAACTATTTCGTTAAGTTACTGAATTTTCTCTCTCGAATTATTTCCACTACTTTTTAGCAACTATTCATTGGTTAGTCTTCAACACGTTATCAAATATTGGGTGAATATTAAATGCTATCTTGGGTACATATTTTAAATCAGGAGCACAGCAGAAAGGTAACGTCTACCACAAAAGTTAACGCATCATCAAAACAACGAATGAAAGCTTCTAATGCTGCTATAAGTGATGGTTGTGAATAAACACAGAGGTACTCATTATAGACTTCGAAGATACGAGAATAGTGCTTTGCAAATATCTTAAAATAATGGTTTAAGCAAGTTTTGTTGGGTCAATGGAACGAGCCACTGTGCCTAGTTCGTTGCATAATTTGTGTGCCCATTTGCTGACACTTTTTGTTGCCACTTCACATGTAAAGTGCCACCTAAGTGGCATGTTTGTTTGTTGCTCTGGCTAAGCAAGTGGCACTTACCTGAATGGCTCGCCTCACGTATGAGATCGTGTATGATTTCATCACGCACATTTATGCCCAGATTCTTGAGCATAAATTGCAGCTCATTTGCAGTAACGCGACCGTCGCGATTTCTGTCTAGTAGATCAAATGCTGTGCGTAGGTCTGTAAGGAGAGGGAAAGCAAAAGAATTAGTAATGTTTAAGTTCCATTCGCAGTAATTACACAATTTTCTAAGTCATTAATATGAACCCACGCCAACATGAACAAATCGTATCATAAAATTATACGAAAACGCCAACGCAGGAAAAACCCAAAACCCCGAGTATAACAAAAAAAACTTCAGTAGATATGCTTAAGTGGTAAACCAAACGAAAATATGCCCTACACACAAACTCGTAGGCAGGCACTCACACAGACGAAATAAATGTCTGTATTTATACACATAACTATAGAAGTGCGTCTTGAGCGTTGGCGGACCCCTACTTCTTACCACCCCTGGCGACAAGGACTTTTGACAAAAAAAAGAAACACAAATACACCAACAAAATGAAACCAAAACGCAAAAGGCAAAATGCCAACATTATAAAAAATCAAAGTCAGTTTCATGAAAATGGGTGATTTTTTTTTTAGACACACAAACTTAGTCAATACAGCAAACGAAAACGACACAAAGCAGCGACTGTGACGCCTGCCAGCCGCATTGTTTTTATTTTGATTATATACAAATTTTATAAAAAGCTCAAACGACGGGAATTTGTCGTTCGTTATGGCATATATATAGCATATATCGCAATTCAGATTTTCCTCTTCCATGTCTTTCTGTTTGCTTTTGTTTGCAGGTACTTAACATTTTTTGAGATGACAACGAAAAGAAAAAACACGTGCGACAAAAGTTGCATACCTTTACGGGTCTTTGGGTCTATATTGCAAGTGCAAAAGATTGTCAACGTAAAGTTAAACAACAATAAACTAACAAAATAATATTTAAACTAGCAAATGGCTTTTAAATTTGGGAAAAGGGTTGGTTAAATTTATAATATATAATATATATTTGCTGGCCGAACATTGAATTATGTTTGCATATTCTAATAAATTTGATCTTTATTCAATAAAAAATATTTATACAAAATTTAAAATTTAGATAACAGCTCTTACTTGATTAGGCACATTTACATTATAACATAAAGCGAATGGCTAGCAAAAGAATTCAAATAGGGGTTACATTAAAGTTGTATGAAATGAGGAAGCAAATTCCATCGAAGGCGATAAGACTGCCTTGGCTTTTGCCTTGTATTTCCAACAGACAAGCAAGCAGACAGCCTTCTCTCAAGACCTTAGGACCTTTTTGTCCCCAATGCCAAATCGATCAAACTTTCACATGCAGTGCGCGCCAAGTTTTATGAGCAAATTGTAAGACATCGTTATAATTATTATACAACATAGTCAAATCAGCACAAACTGCCATGCACTTTATCTATATTTTATAGTTTTTCAATCGAGAAAAGTTGGCGTGCCCATTGCCAACTTATGCTTAGCTGCTAGGCGAATAATTCTCATTCAGAGCTTTGGGAAAAAGCAAGTAAAATCAAAATGCAAACAGCAAAAAGCAAAATCAACACACACATACATGTATAGAAAAAAATTGCAAAAAAGAAATACAAAACATTATTTGCTATTATACAACATTTCATATGCACTATGCGCGCTAAATAGAGCTTCAGCTTAGTGTGTGATGTGAGTGTATGTGTAGTCATGTGTGCGGTTGTGTGTATTGTCCATTGCGCAAAGAATGTGCGAAAATTGCATTTAAATTGCTTTAGTCAAAGCCTCTGCGGGGTTATGCATCGGTGTGTACTTCAATCTGTAAGAGTGTGTGTGTGCTGACACTTCCTTTACAGCTTTGTTATCGGCAACAACGTGCCTCCTTCCTCTTAAGCTGTAGTGCCTCTGCTATGTGCTTATGTCTGTGTATGGCTTGTAATTGCACACGTGTTTATGCCTCACATATTGACGGATTGACACAAATATTTCACAGCTACGTCGTCAGATTGAACGCCGTCCCTACCTCAGGTAGCTGATATACTGCACAGTGGTTAAAGTTTTTGTTTAATAGCTTAGAATATTCATACTCTTTTTACTTTTTATAATTATGTATTTACTTGTAATAATATGATAATGACAGCCTGAAGGCCTTAGTTGAACTGGCTATAAATTTACGTTGCAATTAAGGATTACTTCAAAGTTAAAATAGTGTAAATAAATAATATAACAATGAAAAAGGGGCAGCTTTCAGATTAGCGTCCCATAAGTCGATTAAAGAAACACAACTCGCGGATCTTATAGATTAAAATATTAGAGTGGTTTCAAGCTTTTCATACCTAACCTTACATAATTATAAAATTTGTTATATTCTTTGTAACTTTTGGTTTCTTTTCGTAATATAAAATTTTTAGACTGAATCATTAATAAAATAATAAAAAACCGAAAAGTAGTTCTGTTCCTTTCACGTTTTTTAGAGTCATCTACATTATAGATGTCTCAAGAAACCACCGCATTATTTCTCATTACAACATACGTGTGCTAGCTTCGACGCTAAAGAAAATAATTTGTCTTGTAATTTTTGATTTCCATTAAGAAATAAAACAGTTCTTCTTAAAAAGAAATGGTATTACCACAGTGCGTTGACTTTAGGCCGAGCAATTTGTATATCCTTTTTGCATGTGTGTCAAGAAAATGAGGTTACCCCTGCCCACTTGACAGACATTTTGTTTTGTGGCTTGAAATTTTGGCAGAGCCCGCAAAACTGTAATGGGGTTGATTGTAAGGTATAGTCAGGTTGAACATGTTGTGCGGACTAAACACTTGCCAGCGACCGGATGTAATTGTAGGCCCTGCCCCATTTGCCACTCACACACACTCACTCGCTTGTGTATACGTGTATACACTAAGAGGAAGCAGAACAAGGTGAGCGGAAAGCGAAGCAAACTAAAGAATACTTATCATTCATCTACAATATTTGCCATCAGTTTCTTAGCTCGTTGCTGCAAAGGGCTCTGCCAAAGTCCCACGCACACAAATGCAAATACTTAAAGCCCTAGACGTAATCGCACTTCTGGCACAAACCTGGCGCGTCGACTGCCCTTGACCTATGTTTGTTTGGTGCTATTGCGGGGGTGCGGACGACAATGACAAAGGCACATTTTATACCCTTTTTAAGCGGGTTAATAAACTTCATACGATGTTGGAGACACAAAGAATAGCGTGTTGCTCCTAATACTATATTGTACACAACTTCCATTGTTTTATAAATATAATATTTTCAAGATTAAACCATCCTTTTGTTAATGGAAAATATGATTATTCATTTTTAAGTATTAGCTTGTATGCCGTCGACATACGTCATGAATTTGTACTATTTTATTCAGAATAGCTTTGAGCATTACTTAACAAAAACAAAATATTAAAATAGAGTTTTCTTGGTGATAATACTAATTACTGCAAAGGTAGATTGTAAGACACGTTGTCGGTATGCTTGTTGATTGATTTCAATTTACCAATTTCTTCAAAAACAAGCACGTTTTTAAATCTATTTTGGCATTTATTATTCAACATTATTCAAATGTTTAGGAAAGGACTTCTATTATTAAGGGCTCACATTTTATTGAGACCGTTAAATAAAGGGTAATGCTGATTCGACAATGCTGAAAAAATTGTTTTCATAGTTGCTTTTTTCTATTCTTCTGTCACTGCCAATAGGAAGACATTTTAGATTGTTTTTGTTGTTGGCTGGCGCGTCAAATGGACGCCATCATCATTGTCATATTATTATTTTTATTTTTCTGTTTGCCATATTACGAACATTTGTCCGGATAAGTTTTGCTGCTCTTATTCAAATGATGTGATGCTTGGTGAGCATAAAATAAATTGGTGGCCAAATATATTTGCTAATTAGGGAAAATGTCAAATGCCAGGCATTCGTTGGTAACTGTCCCGTTCGCGCACACCCAAACACACACGGCTCAGTTATCAGATCGTATTGGTGTCCTTGTTATCTGGTGGCTCTGTCGCGTTGCCGTTGACAACAACCGCCAACAATCTGCACAAAGTGTTGGCTCGCAATTATGAAAAGTTTTTAATTACAATATTAAATTGATGCTATCGCTCTCATGACAACAGCGGCAATAGCAACACCAACACTTGAGGCAACATGACACGACTGTCCAAAAGACAAACTTGGTTTGGCCGTGGCTGCGGATGCTGACAAAGTGCGACCAGCCAGAAGTTTATAATTTGTGTATGTCAGAACGACTAATTACAGCGATGATTTTTGTGGTCCCATCTCCACCCCGCTTTGTATAACTATTTATATTGTCCTGCCTTCAAGCATAGACAAAGGGCATCCAATTTGACTCAATTCATTGCAACTTTGTTTCTTTCAAGCAATAAAACTCTGTTCGTGATGTTTCCCGTGCGTTTGTTAACATTGTTGCTGTTGTGTAAAACAAGCTTGTTGTTGTTTTGTTCTACTGAACTTGATAATTGCATGACGGCGCTGCTCTCAATAGTTGTTTTTATGTCTGTTGCTGTTAACCCGGGGCTGCATGCTGCACAATTCTTTGTGACAACACCTCTTGGGTCCCATTAAGTTTTCTAGCATATTTGTTGCGCTTAGTTTGTGCAGCTTGAAAATGTAATTGAGTTGGAAAACTTGCAAAATAGTTTCATGAGTTTTCACAAAATCGTCGTTGTTGTTGTTGTTGTCGTCCTCGCAAATAAATTGCACTCGCTTCTGTCATAAATAACGCTCGAAAGTGAAAACTTGCACAACATTGCTGGCAATAACTGCACACATGCACGCACACACACGCACACACATCAGTAAGTGAAGCGATTTCAAAGGGCTTTGCATTGTGCCTCGCCACTGCATTGTAAAGTGGTTGTGAAATATGGGTCCTGTCTAGCAAGTAGATCTGGACTACACAAGATTTGTTATTTGTGTCCTGGGAGCAACAACTCAAGCAAAGTGTTAGGCAACCTACAATATGAGTGACACTCTATTCTTATCTATACTCACATACACGCATATGTACAATACATAAAGTGTGCGAAATATGTCTCTGGGACAAAAATATTTTTTGTTGTAAAAACTATATTGCATTTTTTTTTTTACTTTTTTTCCAACCAATATTTAAAACCATTTTGCTTATAGTAATCCTAAATAAAAAACTGGTTATGTATTTTATTAAATCGGGCGCCCATTATTATTTATAACCTCAAATTTACTGGACTCTATTGAATTTTTTACGTTTTGACACATTTTTTGTTGTCAATTCTAACTTTGAGATTTTGCTTTTTGAAAAATTTGGAATTTCATGGAAATGGCAAACGTTCTGGCTGTCGCTTCTTGCTAGAACGTTTTATACGATGAAAAAAAAATTAGCAAATAAAGAGAGTCCGTCCCAAATTCATCATGAACTTAATCTAACGAACAATGTCTAAAAATAATTTTAAGCTCATCAGTATTTTTTTCATATAAAAAAAAACATTTCAAGCTCTCACCATAAGTGAAGCACCATCAAAATTTGTTGTCTTTCGCAATTCCTTAGCCCGCCTAATGTGTTAATAATAGAATTGCGCAATGCAGATTGAACTTCTTGTCGCTTAATGCGATATTTTACCACTCATCCTGCCAATATTTTCATAACTCTGCTCAATAGTGTCGACATATGCCTAAGTAGTAACTCGGATTTGGACAGTTTTTTTGCATATGAATCCGATTCTTATACCAAACCTTATACTTTTAAAGTTGAATTTATTTTGTTGACCTATGGATACAAAATGATATAGATCTCTAATACTTAATGTTATTATCAATTGATTTTTCATTATTTAATATTCTAAATATCGCAGCCATATTCCCGTTTGATATTCTGCTTAAATTTAACAGAACCCCAAATCGTTATTTTGCAAATAAAGCAAACCCCTAAAAGTATGCTGTACTTTCACAACTGGATCAGTCATACTGCATTGTATGTATTTCAAGTTTACGGAATAATACACAGGCGAGCATCGGCTATGTTTCTTATTCAGCAGGACAAAAATAGTTTTCGTCTTCGTGTAGTTCCATACTTTATTTTACACCGTATTGGTTTCCGCTTTTTCTATTTTATGTTATTATTTTAGAATCATAAAAACATGACAAAAAGTTTTCTTATTTACCCTTTAAACACTATATTTCACACCTTCAAGGCTATTTTGAAATTAAAAAGTTTGAGTATTTTTTGTTTGAGTAAAATAATTTCGGCCATGATTGATCTACTCTTATTTCATCCGTAGCTACATTTAATTATTTCGAAAGTAAATTATTCAGGTGTTTTTCCTTGAAACCATATTTCAAATGTAAGATAACCTGTTGTATCTTACAAGCTACAAATTGAGGAAGACAAGTTTTGCTTGGGGTCTTTACCACAAATTCGGCAGAATTTTTATAACTTGATTATTTTTCTATTCACTGCATTGGTTGAGTTAGTACATACTATTAGCTCTCTTTCTTAAAAATTGTTTCTAATTTCCTGGCATAAGACAACAATGATAGAGTCAATTTGTAAAATGCCTTAGAAATGCGCATTTCAATATATGCGCAATTGCTGGCCATAAAGCCCCCACTTGAGCTTCTAACAATATAATGCAGCTTATTACGTACTCGAGCGCTCGGCCATGCAGAACTGCTGCATCAAAGGTTGATGACAGTTCTTCTTTGGTGCTTTCGCATGTGTGTATACAAGTATATATAAATACTTGTATGTTTGAAATGCGTCAGATCAAAAGGCAACTAATTCTACGGCTTGCTTATGCTTCCAAACCGTTATAGCCAGGCAACGCTTTTCGTTATAACACATAGAAATAAAATACAAGTAATGCCTCACGAGCAGATACTTGAAAGATTTCGCGCGCTTTTAAGCATTCAATACGCGTAAAGTGTTTGGAAGCGTGCACAGGTTTTGTCAACCTACAACATACTCATATGTACTCGTACATAGGCTAAACAGTTATAATACTTAGGAATATGTGTGTGCGTGGGCTAAACATGCTAATGGCCTCGATATAAAAGCGAAACAAAATTCGTTGAAGGGGAATAAACTGTGCGGGTGGGTAAGCCGCTCAAATCGTTTACTCTGTGTCGCATTTAAGGAAGAAAGTAGAGCAATTGGAAACACAAAAGCACACCTAATTGTAATTAGGATGCTGTAAATGTGATAAATATTGTCGAGGTACTGTACATAGTAAACAATAGACAAATGTTTTAATAATAACAGGCGTAAAAATTATAATTTGGATGCATACCATGAATTATATGCCAATGAAATATTTATGCATATGCCGATAAGATACTTTGTGGTAATCCCAATCAAATCGACCACCAGCGCCTTTATCAAATGCTTAAAAAGAAAGCAGCAACAACAACTGCAGTGGCCTCAACAATATTTATCACATTGATTAGATTGCGAATGCCAATGAGTGACTCTACTGGTCCCGCTGTTGCCATTTCATTTATCGTTGTCACAATATCATGTGCATGCCTTAATTTCTATTTTAAACCTAATATGATTATCGTTTTGTTTACAATTCGTGCTGTTGTTGTTGTTATTGATATTTAACGCCCGCGCGCGACATTAATTCATTTACTTCTACGAGTACAAATATGTTATATGTGTATGGACATATGTGTTGTACTTTAGCAGCAGTATCATGTGGCTGGCAAGTGGTGGTTGTGAAATGATGAATCAAAATTTCTGTATAAATGTTCTATGTGCTATGTGTTTCGTGTTACTCAGAGGATGACAAAAAAAAGTAGTTTCAATGATACAAAATATGGAATTTCTAATTGATTTCAATGTTCGAGTTAAAGGGTTACCAAGAAATTTTACATGTAACAAAGAAAAAACCGTGAAAGGCCCCATGTTCTAGGTATATTATACATACATATATTATACATACATATGTTCAGAAACAAGTGATTTGAACTTTCAACAGAAAACCTTTCCAAAAAAGACAAATTTTATCTGCTTAGCGGGATATGTATTCAACATTTGGTTAGTCTAGCTCTTATACATGTACGTTCCGAGATCCTTGCCCGCGTACAGATGAACAGATGGATATGGCTTTATACTTGTAGACTAGTTTTGTCTAACTAATCAATAATGTACATATATACAATGGACAGGGGTTTTACCCATTACTCATAAAAAAAATGGTGGACTTATAAAACCTATGCTTGTAGCTTTTATATTATCGGGATTTTTGCCATTCTATAAGTAACTCGATAGGTGGTAGATATCTAGATAGAGCATGCCTAAATCTTATTGATAAAGCCGTTCATAAATACTGAAATCTTATTCGATTATATCAGTTATCAGGATTATAGTTTATCCAGTACCATTAAATTTCCCCACTGATGTTTCCGTCCTAAAGTAAGTGACTGATGCTAATAGTAAATGGAGCATGCAAGTGAATTATAAAAATTAATTTTATTTTCACACTATTGCTTAGAGAAGAACCCCGATCAAGTGTTTCTTCAGGGCATCCGATTTCTGTAAATTATGATGAAAAGGAATAATGTTTACCTCTCAACTAAACACTATAGATATAGTGAGCACGCATGGAATTAATTACTTTTCTCAATTGATTGCTCACCATAGAAGGTCAAACATATTAAAAATTTGATATGAATCGCTGTGAAGCCCATGCAATAAACACTCGAACGCAAATAACAAAAATCTTGCAAAATTAGGAAGTTGACGGAACGTTTCCCACGCTGCATTTTGTACAAGTATTTAATATGTATTTTGTGCATAAATCTATTTATTTTGTTTTTTGAAATTTTATAATAATGGTGAAGAATAATTGAAGTGTTTGTTCTTAATACACAATTGTACGTTACAAATAGATTCAAATTAATATTGCAGTTCCATACTTAGCTCACCTCGCACTTGACTTGCGATTGCTTTGTGATCCATTTTGATGTTCTTCGATGGTTTTCTATATGTATATTTATAGCAATGCTTTTTTATTTTTGATGTTGGTATTCGGTGTGTTTATTTTTGTTGTTTCCTTCAAATTCTCCTTGCTTGTTTATAAGTTCAACAGCAATTATAGCACGGTGATTATGTCTTTGTAGGACCGAAAATTGTTCTATTAGGCGTATGAGTAACACATCGACTGTTTACTGGCGGCCAAAAGTTCTTTGTACGCTTCTTTCTTTAAAAATAGCAAATACAAGAAAAGATGAGAATTATATTTGTTGGCAGCACAGCACATATAATGATCATCTGCAATGCAAACTTTTGTGTACAAATTCAAATGAATTTTTCCGAAGAACACAGTTTTGTTGTTCTCGTCCCCTCTTGCCCGCCTGTCTGCCTGCATGCCACGAGCCTTGTTATCATTGGCTCGACTATTGTGTCACGCCTTTTTTAATTGCAATTAATTATACAAATCAAATGATGTCTTTACGCCTCGCTGCCGCTATGAGTTGGGGTCAAAGTGCCGGCAAATGACGTGACTGGACGGAAACTGGAAAGGCGTTGGGAGTGCCCGTCGGCTGTCCGCCACTCATTACTTGGCCGCTTTAATTGCAAACCGGGTGCATTGACAGAGCGTTGTGAATTGGCAGATGCGCCGTGTGTATGTACATATGTGTGTGTATTCGAACAATCTGGCACATGTTGTAAGTCAAGCAATTTCAAGGTCCCGGCAGTTGTCGACTTTCATAAATTGATTGCTCTCATCTGTTGAGAAACCAGACATTTAACACACACAAATCACAATAATTGCGATACCAATAATTTTCGATTTCAAAATGAAGAGCAGACAGTGCTTGATTTTGCGCATAAAAATTGAATTATTTGCAAAATGAAAGTGATTTGCAGTTGTACTTTTGTTTGCTTATTTAATTGATAACAGCTAATCAGAAGAGTTGGCCATCACTTTGCTAACACTAAGACTTTGTTCGTGCTATGTCTTAAGTATCTTTAAATTTTGTACGCCTATAACTCTACGAAAATCAAAAGCAACATTAAGACTGTCTATGAGGACTCTTCTTTTTCTGTGTGCGTCAAATGAGTAGGCTATTATCTTTATAAACAACCATTTTGAGCCGCTGGACGGTGAATACTTTTTGGTAAGGTTAAAGACGTAGGAGCATCGCTGGGAGACTATCTTGAAACTTTTGTAAAATATTGAATCAGTGTCAATGTCGCACTTCGATTTAAACAAACTTGAACATTTAATAAAATCTTTACAAGTATACCCTTACTATTCTCGAAACATTTGTATTGCGCACATTTCTTATTTCTTTATTTTCAGTAATTAAATCAATGACCTGGCATGAACGAGAATCTGATGCGTATAAATCCCAGCTTAAATTTCCAAGCAGATTACTCTAAGCCCGGGGCTTCTCTTCTCCACATTAGTCGATTTAAGTATAACTACACTGGGAAATTTATGTAGTACATTGTTTTTTCTTTTTTTTGCTTATAATTTTACGCTTCATAAAGTTTCATGTGTGCAGTGACGGGCGATAGACGCCGACATTGTCGATGGGTGGAAAGTAAGGCAGGCTAAAACCAATTTAAAAGTACGCTACTCCTATATTTCGCCCCTTTCTGCAAATGACATAACAATGCGTGAGAGTGTGTGGGTGAGTGTGGGTTGCCTTTGAAGCCAAATGCAGCATGCAAGCAATATGCTTGGCTTGGTTCAGAGGCTCGGCTCGAGTGTCGAGTTGCTGGCACCTCTGACGCTGGCGCTGACGCTGACGTGCCAAGGACGCGCTTCAATTATTATTGGCAAAGTTCAAAGTATTCAAAAAGACGCGCCAGGCAGGGCATCCAACCACACACACTCCAACTCACAAACACACACACACTCGGCGGAGCATCTGATCCTTTGTCTAACTGATAGACTGTCTGACTGACTAGTAGGCTGGTAGGGAAGGCAGGCAGGCAGGCAGGCAGGCAGGCAGGCAGGCAGGCAGGCAGGCAGGCAGGCAGGCAGGCAGGCAGGCATCGGCAATACTTCAAAGTGCGGCAACTTGATTGAATTTGTGTTGGGTCTAATAATGTTATCAAAAAGTTTGGCAATTGCATTAACGTGCGCGTGTGATTACCATAAAATGTTTGACAAGCAAACAATGAGAAGCGATAACACTTGCGTACACTCTGAACACGCGGCGAAAGTAAAGAAAACAAGAATTTAACCCCACTCTATGAGTAGTTTAGAGATTAGTACTAGTTTTCGTTGGTAGGTAACCGATAGACCTGGCTGACTAACGGACAGCACATACACGGATAGCGTTGAACTCGAAGCAGAAACAGCACGGATAGTTGGATAGTGTGCGTAAAAGTGGTCAACAGAATTTAAGTACGAATAGTTAGTGATAGGGCGCTTGTGGCTCGCGGCGCGTTCTTTACTGGCGCGTTGACTTTTAAATACTGAATACGGTGCCGTTGGCAGCGACTTCGTTTGTTTGGTGCTTGCCTGCCGATGATGAGGAGGCCACACGAACCGAAGCGCAACGAAGGCTTCGGCGCCCAACTGTTTCATTCATTGCCAGCGCCAAAATGCCCCTTGGGGTGAGCTTCCGAATGTGTGTATGTGTGTACGAGTGCGCGAGTTTGCTGATTTGTATTTGTTGCTGCTTTTGTTTTTATAACGTGCTTCTTAAAACGTATATAGGGGAAATACAAACGCCACCGACTCTCAGTTCTCTGATTCTCTCTCCTTTCTTTCCTCTCTTTCCATCAACATCAAAATTATCTGTTGGCATGGGGCCTTCCTTGGAAAATGTCTCTGGCATCGTGGTCGCGTGATAGGTTCATTCTGGTCCGATTTGTGCCCATTTTCTACCTACAATTGTTTGAGGGCCCATTAATGGTATTTTGCAAGAAACATTCTTTAGAAAACTCTGCCAAATTTTTCTTCTGCGTCTTAACACAAATTCGCTGCCTGATAAGAAATGGTTATCAATTCTACCTAAGCAATAATAAACCCATTATGGTACTTAAATTCAACTCACAATTATTTTATAGTTGTTGACTTTCTTTCTCTTATTTTAAATGAATCGACTGAATAACTTATTCTATGACTTGTCTATAGTGCATTGAATTTATGACCCAATTTTCGGCGAGCTCAACTGAAACTGTGATTATAATATATTTTGACGTTAATTAAAATAAAATCTTAAAAATGCAATTATATTACAAATATCAATTCACTTATTGCGTATACGCCATTTGAGACGCACCTGAACACACCCTGTATGCACGATATATGTAAACCCCTTACGAAATAAATCGGTAAGAAGATATCTTCCAATGGCCTTGAAAACGCTGCATTAAAGCCACACAACAACAGCTACAGCAATGAGAGAGAAAAAGATGCGAGTATGCAACAATACTGAAAACCAACAACAACACAATCTCCCAACCACGCACAATATGTGTGGCTGTATGTGTGTGTGTGCGTGCGTGCTTATAAAAGGGGAAATTGAGCGCACGTTGAAGCTCTCTCTCATACTCTCTCTCATTGGAAAACGGCTGACATTTAGCGAATTCAGGGAACAAAACAAAATAATAAAAACTTGCTGGCTTTGTAGGCAGAGCCTGTACGAGTGCGTGTATGTGTGCGTGTATGTTTGTGTGCGTGCGTGCTAGGGTGTTGCTGCAGCGGGAAAACTGCACGTAAGGATTTATGCAACAATTCGGTCGGATTTTATATAATTTGTAATTAAAACACCAAAGGCAATGGAATCCTGCAAATTTCTCATCAATAGCGTGTACATTCCAACATTTTAAATTAAATGAAAATCTCGTTTATGAAATAAGCCTGGATACTGATATTGCGACAATATATTCGATACTAAAATTTAACTAAACAAGTCGTGTTTATATGATCTATTTTATACAGATTTAAGCTGTTCTATTTTTTAATTTGTTTGCACTTAAAAGCATAGGGCTCATCTATACACATATTGTTTTGAATTTTCTTACTAGATGTGTTAATTTTATGCGTTATTTATTTATAAGTATGCCTTTTACATTTGTAGAGCTGTCCAGAAGCAGCTGTTTTTAAATGAGTTTTAAGGATTTTTTTTTTGTTGTTGCCAATAATAGATAATCAAAATTTATCCTCTCTCATGTTCTGAAAATATGTTATTTTTAAATTTCTTTTCCTAAATTTAAACATTTTCATTCATGTGGATACGGTTTTGGCTTCTACAGCGAAAAAAGCGAAAAATAATAGATGTCAAAATAAAAATTAAATATTGTTGAGCCCAATTAAAAATAACTTGCAGTATTAAAAATGTTGTAAAAGTGTAATAATTTCATATCAAACGGTCGTGTTATAGACAACTCTACAGGGCGATTCCGCACAAAATAGTATTTTAAATTACAAGCTTAATAAACAAAAAAAAAAAAAAAAAAACGGTCACAAAATATATCTCGAAACATGTAAGACTTTTTTCAGGAGGAAAAAAATTGATGTGATTGTATGGTATTTGTATGATATTTGTATTTACAAATTCGAGAACGCTTTGAAAACGGAATTTGTTCTTTTCGAATAGTGAATGGAACCAACCATTTTTGTTTTTGAAACTTAAGACAAAAATTGTCTACCAACAGATTTATATAATTATAAATGTTAAATTGTTATTAAGACTAAACACCTAGTTTAAGTTATATTTGTTTTTAACTTTAAGTTTAATTGAAAAAATAAAAAAAAAAAGACAAAAATTGTGGGAACACTTTTTCCTTTTTAGTTAAAGGATCTCGGGGTTATTGCATTTTGCAGACCATTTTAAAATGGATTAAAGAAATATGCTGATGAGGCACAATCTGCAATGTAGAGATTTTTCGGATATAACTTAGATAGAAAATTAGCTGCACATATTTTCCACACATACATACTGATATTTCAATTAAATGCCAAACACGTTAAGCAAATGAACTGAAAACCATTCGCTCTTTCCTACATCTCTTTATTCTTTTAGTTGCTGCTTAGCCATATTCCTTTGTTTTATGCTGGTTGGCTAAAAAGAGTTGACTGAACCTGCCCTGCACAGCATGCAGCGAAACTTTTTAATTAAAAGGAATAGCTAAACTTTAAATGGCAAAATGCAACACAAAATATACAGATCAAGTACACGCACACACCCACACATTGATATGAGAGTCATACGCATAGTTCATTGAATTTGTAGCATACCTTAGGGCTGATAATACATATCATATACACGAGCAGCAAATCAGTTTGCATCAACACCAACCTTTGTGCTATAAACGTTGAGTTCGACGAACACAGATGCCTCGGGTCACGGCTAAAAAGCTGCCTGGGCAGGCATAAATACAATTTAAATATTGCGCCGCAGAACTTTTAGCCTGGACGAAAGCTAGCAAACGGAAAAAAATGTCCAAATTATACAGTCAGCAGGAAAGAGACATAAAAAGAACCTAAGACGAACTCGGTAGAATGTTGAATGCTCTTTGATTGTTGTTTTATGAATGTATTGTTGCACTGTATAGTAATGGGTTCTTTTCATATAACCAATAAATGTAGCCAATTAATTATATTAAAACAATTTAGTTGAATTTAGAAAAAAAGATCCCATAGAATTATAATTTGTAATATACTATGTACTATTTAAATACAAAATCACAACCCTGGTAGCTGTCAAAGTGACTAGTCGACTTTTTATTGTGCGCTCCGTGAAAAATTGTAATAAATTCCTCTTTTTCAATTATTTCGCGTATAGTGCGTTAAAAAAAAAAAAAACCACCCGGAAACCTAGTTTCACCTTGGCTTTTTGGCAATCGTTTAGTATCCTTATTTTCTTGGATTCCAATCAACAATTAATCTGCTGTATGGGGCTGCTCTGCTGACGTATACACGTCATCGGAGCAGAGACAGCCCAGAATTTTTCTTCTTTGCTTGTTTTGCAAGTCATCTTATCTCACGTAAATGAATGCTGATGAAGACTCGGCCGCTCTCGGAGCAGCTGAGGAAGTAGTCAATAAGCTGCCGAAGTACGTGGAGATGAGAAAAATTTCTGGTAAATCACCTTCGGAGCTGAGAGCAAAAATAACCAAGGACTTGCATATGTCAATGGGAAAACCATACTTAAAGCCGTCAATCTCAACCAGTAACTGGATTGCCTCAACCACTTGTACATCGACTACAAGTACCCTAACATTTTCTGTGGTGAACTCTCAATCAATGTATACTACAGTAGCGACATCAAATGGCAGTTTGTGCTCCACACCCGCCGTTGTGAGTACACCGGCTTCAATGACAAACTTAGTTGCAAATCCAACTCTGGACAAATTTTGCTCGTTTCAAATGCCAGTACCCGGTATTAATAGGAAGCGGAAAGGAGCCGTCGAGTCACTAAAATCGGCTCAAAAAAATAAGCCAACTCCTGTCAATACAACCCAGGGACAACGAACTGCGTCCTCCTCTCCGCCAGCGCTTCAAAATAATAGATTTGCAGCCCTTTCGGAAGAAGCTGATTCCATTATGGAAATGGAAGAGCCAGATTCCGAAGATCCATCGAGCCAGCAAAATGAAGCCAGCCGTTTCCAGCAGGGAAGTAGTATTCCTAAGCCTCCTGCTATATGTGTGCCACAAGTCAACAAATTGGATAAGCTGGAGGTGGCGCTCAATTCTGCTGTCTCCCCTAACGATTACGACATACGCACATCGAAATCTGGGATCTCGCGTATTTATACGAAGAATTCGAATGCGTTTCGTGCAATAATCAAATTATTGTCCAATCAAAATTGTCAATTCTGGCACCACCAGTTGAAGGAGAACAAACCCTGCAGATTGGTGCTCAGAGATATTCATCCCAATGTACCCAGGCAATTAATAGAGCGCACCTTTACCGACAAGGGCTTTACAGTTTTGAATATATATTGCCCCAGAAAACCGGACTGGCGTAACATTCAAATTAATGAGGAGGATGGTGAGGACATAAATAATGTTAAAACAAGTAAAAAAGCTAAAGTCGGGTGTCCCGACTTTGAAATACTCTGTACATATGTTTACAATAATTATAAAAAATAAAAAAAAAAATAAATAAAAAAAAAATTGGATCGATTTTACCTCTCTCGGTATTCGAACTCACGTAAAGGGTGTATAATTGCACATTTACATAGCAATTGCGTCTGTGTGAGTGTATGTATGCCTATGCGCATCAATTCGTGTCTGTGTAAGCATTTTCGCAGTCAACCAAACAGCAACATCAACAACAGCCGCGGGCAGCGCTTGAGCAGCGCTGCAGCAGCGCTGCAGCAGCAAATATATTTATGGCTATAACTTCTTGGTAAATCGGTCTATCATAGTGAAACTTGGCATACGGACACATAATTACTAACTGGGGGTATTTGCAAAATTTTAGTTC